GATTGGCTGTATAGTGTAACTTTACGTAACGTAACATGCCCAGAGACAAACTTGTGAAGTGGTTCACATGTGTGTGTGTTGTGGTTTTTGTTTGTCATGTGCAAAAAATGCCTAAGAAATCAGAACTGTGGTTCCACAGGGTTCCAGGGTTCCAGGTGGCAACCATTTAGTCGCATTTTGCGTCCATTTTTGGAGACAGTGCGACTAAATTTCATAACTAAATGCACCCGTGTGACTTGCAAATATGCCCCCCCATACAGTGGCTGACCACATCGTCATATATCACGTGATACACCTGGAGAGAGTGAGAATTAGTGTGCGTGTGTATACGTGTGTGTGTGAGCGAGATCATTGGAACTCGGTCTGATTCAGTTCTTCGGGGGCACGACTGAGCAGACACTTACAGTGATTAGTTGCTGATCACTTTACCACAAGCACCGGTACTAACATGGAGGTTATGCGGTAGTACAGAAAAAAAGACAACATAGTCTGACTACAAAACATTACAAGCTATTACAATTCAAAATTGTTTTAAGTATTTTACACAATATTTCTGTGTTATGACTCGCACCATAATGAGATTGTATACATGTGGCTGATACGGCTACTGCGCTCATCTGCTTAGTTCACCTGTCATGTTAACAAGAACGATATCGCTGGCGAGAACAGAAACAGTGAAAGCTCTGGTAAAAAGGTAAAAAAAAGCTGGTAAAAAGGCTCGCAGCATCTGGTATTACTTGATTTGGAGAAACAAAGGGGCTGAATAAACTGAAAGATACAGAGCTGGTTCACTAATAATTTGTACATTTCAGATCCACAGGTGTACCTAAGTACCATTATACACTGTTTAAAAATTAAAGATTAAAAACTGAAGTGTGCTTCCTACAGAAAAACATTTGCTTCTGGCATTATGTAGCTACATCCATCCAACCATTATCTGACCTCTGGACCATTCCATGAGCTTCTCCTACGGTTCACAGAGGTATTGCATACATTTTATCAAAAGTATTTTGAGGGTTTGAAGAGCTGTTTCAAATCTGAATAAAGTATGGACCAGCAAAAGAAGGCTAAATCAGAATGTGAAACACATAAAATGTAACTGGATTTTTAGGCATTAAACGGTAGCTGACATTAATAATAAATGTTAAAATAAAAAGTTGTCCATCACTCTTTCAGCCAGAAAAACTTGTCCATGGTAACGGGAGGCCCCTGTAGCCCATCCCAGGCTGAAGGATGGGCTACACCCAGGATGGGATGCCAGTCCATTGCAGAGCACGGGGCAGTGGACACCCTGGATGGGATGCCAGTCCATCGCAGGACATAGATACACAGGCTACAGGAAAATCAGAATCAGCAATTAGCCTAAGGAGGAGGAGCCATAGGTAACACATGCAGAGCATGGAAGGCCCACACACACGGAGCGGGGGCGAGGCTCAACCCTCCAACCCAGGAAGTGTGAGGCCAGAATGCTGCCAAGATCCATGCATAAATGAATAAAGGAATATTTACAGATGCATCTTTCACATACATATCAAACTTGCAAAAGCCTGATACGCAGAGCAAAGCAAATCAACTGTGGGTGGATTCTGCTTTACAAAAAAAAAAAAAAACTTGTTTGCTATTACAGGATTTATGGACACAACATATACTCTCCCAGGATCACTACGATGTTGCATAACAGCATTCGGGTTGACCAGAGTAAATAGCAGCACTGAAGCTATATTACTTCAAAAGCAAATCTCCCCATCAGTACCTATTCATTCTGCAGTGATGTATTCCCTAGGCAAGACAGGACCATTTTACAGTGACGAAAAAGTTCAATGGCATGAAATCTGCTGTCAGAGAAGCACAAGAAACAGATGACTGGTGCACACAGCTCATTTAGAGACAAACCGCCATAAATCAGCTTTCTCGCCGACCGCAGTGACGTCGGGATCCGGCTCATCCGTTTGGCAGGTCCCAGTATTGATACTGGCTCTGATTCCTCAGTGTCGCATGAGAACAACAGGGGACCTGCACCGCAGAATGTTCCTCCGTGCAGCTGTGTGCCCTGTTCCCATCTGCCGTTAACATGCGCTAATTTGTTACACTGAAAACTCTGTTCTGTTCCGTCCCCCCCATCCAAGAGCATTAATCAAACAAACACCAAACAATCATACAAAAGAAAACCAGACATGAACACATGAACTTTAAAAACCAATATTATATGAACCTTCCCTCAGAGTTTTTAGCGTCTTGTTCTTTGATAATTTCTTACACTCGAACAGCAGACCTTTACTGTTTAGTGTTTCCCAACCCGGTCCTCAGGGATCCCCAGACAGTCCACATTTTTGCTCCCTTCCAGCTCCAGTGGGAGCAAAAACATGGACTGTCTGGGAGTCCCCAAGGACTGAGTTGGGAAACGCTGACCTACACCAGCAGCCAGGCCTACTCAATCGCCCTAGTGCCTGTCCCAGTGCTTAATACACCATCTCCTTTGCTCCTTTGGCAAGAATGAGCTGTTTATGTTTCTGCTTTCTCAAGCAGCAGACCTCTGGTGTTGTCTGTACTGGAACTAATGAAGACTGAAGATCCTCTTGGGGAAAAAAAAACTTGACATACTGCTTATACATGCGTACTTAGACGACAATCTTCAGTGCACAGTGGAAAGATATATTTCCTTGCAGTATAGGATCAAGTTGAAACTAGCAGTCAGATCAGTTCTTTCCCAGAAACGTGCCTCAAAGATATGTTGAAAAACTTGTTTTTGAAACATTTCAGCTCTTACAGTATATGGGTAAATGTATGAATTGTTTAATCCCCTGTCAAGAAACACATAAGTTATGCTGACAAGCATAAGAGCATGCTGTGCTCGTCAATATTCTCATATAATTGTGCTTCTTGCTGTGCAGATACGTGGCTGGGAGGGAGCAAAAATGTGGACTGTCTGGCAGGCACCTGAAAGGGAGCAAAAATGTGGACTGTCTGAGGGTCCCTGAGGCCTGGGTTGAGAAACACTGGTTTACATTTTTGTTTCAATCCAGTGGGCTCAAGAAAACTCAGCCAGCTTTCTGATACACCAAGAGCATGTCAGCCTGCCTCAGTACTGCAGACTTTAGAGAGATGAATAATTATGGAGGTCTAGACTGATTTCCATCTCTTGATGCTTTTCATTCAATACAATGAAAGCACAGAAGAACCACAAACAAAATCTGATTTTTCAAAAGACCACCTACGCCATTCAAAATGTTCCGTTTGGTTTAAATATAAAAGCCTCTGCTGTCAGTGCTGTGACAACCTTGTTTAAAAGGCCAGCCACAGCCGGGCCAGTGAGGTCATCTGCATCATCTCGGCCGCATCCTGCCCTGAGACACACACTCTGTTTTGCCCTGCTTTTGCAGGCCTGCCGTGTTCTGCTCCGCAAACCTTCACCTTACCTCTTGCATGCCAGTTTATTTTTAGTGCGTTGAAAGACAAGAGAACAGAAGCGAATAATGCACAGGAGCCGTGCACATTGTCTTAACTTCATCGTACATACTGTGTAATAAACGGCTTTCATCTGTAACAAACTGCACAAGACTGCAATTACCCGGTGTCCCTACGCGTTTCTGAGTTAACTACAGCAGGGAAAGTAGGACTATGTGTATTTAAATATTCCAATTATATAATCAGAGATTGAAGTACTACAAATAGGAAAGTAATTTCACTGGTTCACTTTATTCTAAGTGCACTTGCTAATCTGCTTATAATTTTATATTTGATTCACCAAGATTTCCTTTGCCTGTCGGGTAAACATGCATGGCATTAACCAGTCCAAGAAAAGATCCCCGTAAACAAGGCCCAGCTTAGCACTCCAGCCTCCATGCTCCCTAAGTGGAGCAGCGGCACAGAGGGACTCAGACCTGCACATTCGCTGCGACTTCAAATGCGAGTGGCATTGCAGGGCCCAGCTACGGCGTGTCGCATTCGCTGGATGGAATGATTGCTCGGTTCTGCGGTTTCTTGTAAATGTCAACCAAATATCATATTTGTGTGGCAGTGCTTTTAGAAGCGCTGACGATGCGTCAGAGGCGGCACTTCTGCGTCCGTTCCGGGGGCGTTATACCCAGTCGCCCATGTCCAGCAGGGTACCTGTTCCCTAAACATGATTGTGTCCATGTCCCATGTCTCATGTTGACTGTTTCCAATCCATCTCAACACTTAATGTATTAAGCTTAATGTGGCTGCTAGCTGAATTTGGACCATTTGGAAGGTTGAAATGCTGCCACATTTCTGAATTGTTTGCAAGAGTGATTAAAGTGGAGATAAACCTTATCATTAGCATTTAAATCTATTTGTCCATTACACAGAAGTTCCTAACCTCTCCGCAGTTAAGTAAAACAATAGTGTGTTGCTGACCAATTAACATCATGCTAATGGGGAGAGATTTGTTTCCAAGTTACGAATGGACCAAATATCATTTCATTTAACCCTGTATTACCATATGTCTGCAGCAAATGCTTCTCGAAAGACATCGGGATTAGTGCTGCTAGCAAAATCAAGCTCAAATGATTACGTAATTCTGAAACAAAAGCAACATGCACCGATCCTACGAGGAATTCTGACTCCGTTTTCACTCACTGATGGTGATTAATGTGCGTATGCATCTGTGTACAGTCAACCATACGTGTCTTTGTGGACTATATGAAGCAAAGCCAATAATAATCTCTGGGGGCATTTTAGGCCTGTGGATTTGTAACCTTAAAACAGGGGTTACTGGCCCTGACCTCTGAGGCCCAGTACAGCCCCCAGCTCCTAATTGCTTTATTGAGTCACCTTGGCCTGATGTTTCCATCCTGTGCTAATCGATATGCATCTCAGGAAGGCGGCAGCACTCTGGTCCCACGGGGACCACAGGCTGTTGCCGACACATGGGAGACATTTCAGTTATTCAAAATGACAGGAAGGCCAATAGATTTCATTGACGGGAGACTGAGAAGACAGTGTACACAGGAGAGGAGCAGAGCAGGAAGGTTACAGACCTGGCTTTTTTGGAACAGTTTCCATCTGACCTGTAAGTGAAGAGAAAGACACAGAGAGAAATGGAAACATGAGTCAGTAACTGCATAGCAAACACCTCACTCACACACACAGCCGATATGCAGTTTCAGTCAATACATTCTCTGGCTCCTACATTTCATTTAAACCCCTGAACTGCTTTTGCCCACACATCACAGGAAACTCCAGTTTTCACTGGCTAATGACTCACTGTACAGCTGTCATTAGAGCTGCATCACTCCAATGGATAACATTATCAGCAGTGTGTGGGACCCATCGCTCTCCTACATGGATGGAACAACAGAACTGAACAGTCTGCATTGTGTTAGTTATTGAACAGCAAGTGGTCTTTGTGAACAAAAATTAAAAATAACACCTCCTGTCTCATTCTTAACACAAAAAATGAAGGGTGCACACAGCTACGAAGTAAAAATGACTAATTGCAACAGTAATCCTTTAGTGTACTAAATGTGTTATTAATGGCTGCTTGTGCTTAGTCGCTGTACAGATGACTAATTGCTGCAGCTGTCCTTGAATCAATTCATGTGTCTCCCAGACCTCTCATACATAAAAGCAAAATTCCAACACATAAGATGTACATAGCGGATTAGCACATGGACCCAGCACCATTTGATCTGACTCTTCAGCATGAACCGGTGAATATAAAACATGAAGGCAAGCCCACGGGAGTAATCAGGTAGTGTTTTAACAGCTGACACTGGGGAGCTGAGGTTTTATCTTGATCGCACTGGTAACACCAAAGGGAGCTTAAAGAGTCTATTTATGTTCAGACTTGACAAAGAAAACATGGAAAACTGACATTAGTGGGTAAATATTCTTATAAAATAGGGATTGCTTTAAGTACAGCTGCAGACGCGGGAAATACAGAAGGTGACCCCCCCTGATCCCAGCTCTTCCAGCCCTTTATTCCACTACACAGTTCCCAAAAGTCAGCAGAATGATGACCCCCCTCGTCACACTAAAAACAACACATCATGTAGAAAACAAACTGGGTTAAGCATACAAAAGACACCCATTAGGCACACGCGAAGAACGCCGAGAAACATCAGAACGAGCGTCTTCCCTTCAGAAAGCGGCCCGCTGCCTCAGCAGCCCCGCAGGCCCCGGGGGGCTCTGACCTCCCAGCTGCACTCAGCACGCCGTCCACACACGTCACATCGCATCCCTGCATGCACATCCCTGCATGCACGGCCCCCAGCAGCCGCGTGCTACAGGTCCCCTAGTGCAGGCCAGGTCATCCTGTGTTTTTAGAATTTCCTAACTGGGGGAGAAGGAGTGGAGCTCGTTTCAAGGGGGGGTGGCCATCGGAGACGTGTTTCCTTGGGAACCTCTGTGCCCCCTCTTCTGGACAGGAGACATTCCAGTGGTTACTGTCAGCTAATAGATAACCACAACAAAGGGAGGGAGCGTGTGTGTCTCTTTGTGTATTATGCTTATATTATGTTGTGGGGACTAAATGTTCCCCATAATGTAATGAAAACCTGCCATTTTGACGCTGTGGGGACCATTTTTTTGGTACAATGATCTGTAAATGCAATCAAAAAAACATAAAAGCCAAAAGTCTTGTATTTTGTTTAGTTACTTATGGCTAAGGTTAGGGCTGGGTAGGGGTTTTCCCCTTAGAAATGAATGGAGTCCCCACAAAAGTCCGCACACACACACGCACGCATGTGTGCTGCGTGAGCATGAGCACATATCTTAATTTCTCACCCTCCCTTGAGTGTTTCTCAGACTCAGTTGTACACCCATAATTCACAGATGCTCTGAGCAACGCCACTTTCGATACACACACTACTAACACGATCCAGGCACAGCAAGATATTACCAGCTGGAGAAGCTGCTCTTATTTTTGGAAGCCCACAAGCTGCAGGTGCCTGACAGGTCTGTGGGGAGCATGGACGCAGCAAGCAGCGGAGACACCTCTGGACAATGCAAGTGTTCCCCGTGTGGACGAGTCTATGTACAATATGGTGCCTGGCAGAGGACAGAGTTGAAAGCCGGTGAAATCACACTGTCCATTTATAACACGTTTATTACATGTTTCTTGCATTACCTGTATTGCACTAACAAACTGAAATAAAAGCCCAACCCCCTAAGCAGGCTCAGTGCTGAACAAAAGTGCAGGCTTTGCTACAGTATATTGTACAGATTCAGCATTAATAAAGCAGCGTAAAAAGCAAAAATGGCCAATAAAAAAGTCTGCAATTTATAACACTACATGGGGTTGTTTACCGTTAAAAAAAACCGGAGGCACTTGAACTGACTACTTGAAAAATTCAACAAATATAGCAATTACTGTGGTTGCCATGGTGAGCGAGCGTAGAGAAGGCAGAGGAGTGGCAGTGCCATGGGGACAGAAAAAGGATGGTGTCACATCATGACAACTTTGCTACTACGCTGTTTTGTCCCTTTTTAAAACCCACTGATGGTAAATGAGGCAGCTTTTAAAAAGGTGGATGTACGGTACGATTTTACTTCTTTATTATGTAGAACTAGATCTACCTTAAGCTACTTCCCATTGCTGAGGTCGACGAGATTTTTATGACATCGGCTAAACAAAACTGACAGCACTAGTTTATACTGGGAGTCTGGCTGTGACATGTGTAGTTTTAATGGTGCCGTGTACCAACACTGCACTAACACGGCAAAGAAGATCAATGACCTGTAATACAACTGTGGACTGTGTATTGTGAAGAAAAACACACGGAGGGCACAGAGTATAAAATAACTTTACACTTGAGACTCCCTTCCCGCCTCCAGCCTGCCTGCTGCAGCACAGCTTACAGCAAAAACTGCGTCAGTACAAACAGGGAAACGTGCCGCAGGAGATGCAGGCTGGTGCACACAGCAGCATCCCTCTGCCGCCGGGCCCCTTCCTACTTCCTGGTTTAAATCTTTAAGAGGTTTGTTTGTTGCCATAAACTCGCAGTTCAGTGAAGATTCATCAGTTTACTTTTAACACATTTACATATCACTGCAAGACTAGAGCAGGAGCAACCTCTGATTGTATGTTCCCAGATCTGAGAATATTAAAAGGAAACACCGATTAGTGCATAATGATTATTTCCGATGCTTAATGAATTGGTGTATGGAGCTACCCATGGCATACTGTAGGTAGAAAAACATGAGACATAATATTACGACCTGCCATTCAGAATATGAAAAATTGAGTTATGCTTTTTTGCTGGTTTAGAAGATATCAGTATCAATATCAATGATAGCAATGTTGTAAACTAAAAAAGTGCTGCATATTTTACAGACTTTTGAATTAGTCTATAGTGCTTTAAAAGTGCTTTAAAAAATAAAATAAAAGATTGTGAGATTTAAAATAAATTATACTTAAATGCCACACTTTAAACTAATGTAATACAATAGTAAATTGTATTAAGTCAATATAAGACTACAGAAAAAAACATAAAATAAAGGTGTATTATGATTTAACATCTGCAAACATGCAACGAATGGTATTATGAGACTGTTCCATTTAACCTCTTTCTAAAAATAACTTTTATAAAATGTTACAGCAGGTTCTAGTCAGCTTGGGAGGATGAAGGTGATGCTTCTCTATGTGACCTTAAAGACAAAGCTCAGGTAATTGCACTGGCTCCACCATGGGGGAGCCCTAAAAGCACGGCCATGCTGCTTATACACCTCAGCTTCCAAAATGTACTAATGCATTTGAAAGGAAAACTTTACATGTGGCAGCTTGGACTGATGTTTTACAAACTTAGAAATAAAATTGCGTTACACACTACTGTGTAAAAGTCTAAGAAAAGAAAATGTTTAAAGCTATTTTATGTGGGAGGTAAACACAATTTAACACTAGAATGTAGAGGTCGACCGACATATCGGCCGGCCGATATTTAGCATTTTTTAATGTATCGGCATCGGCCGATATCCGAGTGCACTACGCCGATTTTCAGACAGGCA